TAGAGATAGACATTTTTCAGCCACCCTAATATAAAAAGAGATAAAAAATAGTTACTAGAGGTAAATTTGAACGCTAAATTCAAAACGGCAGTAATTTTTTAAAACCTAGTACCTACTAGTACCTAGTACCTACCGAAGTACGGCAGAGCTGCCCAGCAGATATGACCTGAAGATGGTACATGAGAAGTAATAATTATGTATATTTCAGCATTTAATAATAGAAGAAACAACGCCCCATAATTATGATGAAACAAAACTAAATATTTAATAAACATAAACATATATTTTTCCAAAGGTTGTTAACCACTAAAAAATGATTTTGTTGCATCGCACATTATTCCACCATTCGGTGTATTTTTAACGAACACATTTAATTTTGCCAAAAACAAATGCATAAATGATACACGAGCGATGCAATCTTTTCTCTTCCGCACAGCCGGGCATTGTGAATTCCTGCATCGGCGGCTGAACAACCAAGGGGCGGCAGGGTAGCAGGAATTCACGGCAGCCGGCAGGACCCTGCAGGGGTCGATCGCCAAGTGCAAATGCCTCTGCATAACGCATAATGACACAGTGGGGAAAATGATCCGTTTTTTACTTATGTGTGTGGGGTGTTTTGTTTAATACTGAATAATGTTTGGTTTTGCGAGCGAAACAGAGGATTCGATTTTACTTTTAGATACGAAATTGATGGGCAGATTACATTTGATGGTTTGTTGATTTCCACGATTCGTATTTTTTGTTAAAGAAAATCTTTTGTGACAATATTCATACTGTTTTTATTTAGTAGGTTTTAGATAAACTACTAAATAAGTTAATATCGTTATTATTGCTTTTTAATAACTTAAAAATATATTTATAATATAAAGGTAAATATAATAAAATTAAACTTAAAAGCGATTACAAGGTAAACACATAATTTAAATTGTTATTTATTTCTTAAGGTATTTATTTTTTAAATCCGATTTAGGTGTGGATAATAATAAACGTGTGTACAGGATCCAGGATCTAGGAAGATGATGTTCCTAGATGATTTAAAAATTTAATTATAGAGAATTCCAGGTTTTTGAAATTGTACAGGATTTATTGGTTAGATTTTTACCGGAATGACTTTTTCAATAGTATTTCTTATACTTGAAACAAAGTCTGCAAAATAAAATACTGCAGGATAGAGAGTTTGGATAACCCCCTGTATCTGTATTCGGCGATCTGTCCATGCGGTCTGTGAGTACATGGCAAAATAAAACTAATTCATAACTTTTTTAATATATTTTTTTAATGTCTCTTTACAGTACATTTCCACCATAATTGGCATTATATACAATTTCTTTTGTACTGACCCCACCCAATTGAAAGTTTGACTTACTTTATTTTGAGTAGATACAGAACCTTTTAGTTCAGTTTTGTTATTTTTCCTATTAATTTAAACATTTCCGAATAAATATTTTAACATTTATTAAGGTAATATTACCAGATTTTATAAAGAAAAGAAATTAAATTATAATATTTTTTTTAAGTCCACACAAAAAATCTTCTTTCATATTGATTTTGTATAAAAAGGTTTGTAGGAAACATTTAAACACAATGTAAATAACGCAGCTAAGAGATTTGGGGTAATACTTTTAATTCGCCATTCGATACAAATAACGAAAAAAATGTCGAGACTTCATCCGACATTTTACGATACGTCATTTTTACCGTTGACAATATCGTCATGACGAGTAATCAAAATTAAAAAGATGTTTTCCAGCTTTGTTTCTCAGAATTAAATCAAATATTCCAATTGTGATAAAAATTCATGACGACACTGGAATTTTTCCAAGTGTCATCATGACGACTCGTCAGAATTAAAAAGATGCTTACGAGATTTGTTTCCTATTAAGGTACGGTCTCCTACAAATTCGTTTGGCACTGGTAGTCACTATGGTAGCTGCTATGTTCAACGACTAGCGAAAAGTCATTTGTGATAACTACTTAGTAACTTGTAGGAAAACAAATCAATAAATTGCATTGTTTGAGTCTTGGCAGCCACCCTGTAGCAACTAGCGAATTTGAATACAAATATATGAAAACGCGTCTTTAGATAAAATAAAATATTTGAATTGACGGTATCGTTATAGTCGTCGTCAGACGTGTTGTCAATTTATTTTAAGCAAGTTTATTAATAGACTATTAACTATATAACTATTAATAATAGTACACTGTTCAAAATTTCATGACCATTTTAACACCAAATTAGCACCATACATGGTCTATATCGATACAAACCAAAATGGTGTTAAACATGGTTCGTTGGTCCAGTGTAAATTCAAATACTAAAATAGTGTAAATTTTACTTTCACATAGTGTTAAAATAAATTTTACCTGGTGTAAATTGAACTCCTTTTCAGTGTTAAATATTATGTGTTTTTTGTTCAAATTAAATCATACTACACAGAAAAAAAGAAAAAAAAAGGAAACAGGAAGTTCCTTGACGCATTACTAGTGGTATTATTCCAGAAAATTGAACCCTCACCTCGCTAGAGATAATGTTTTTAGTGCGTTCCACCAACTCAAAATACTTAAGTATTGACAGCTTTTTCCACCTATTTAAGGTCTCTTTAGTATCGAACAACTTGTAGTGTCACACCAAAGAAAAAGACTACCTGAGCTTATATACTCTTCATGTAAGTAAGAACAGCACGTGATCCACACCGCCTTTGCCGCGATCGGTAACCGAAACAATTTTCCGTGCATTGCTGGTTACATAGTGTGTATACACACTATGTAACCAGCAATGCACGTCAAATTGTTTTAATCGTTTTGACAGAGTGCTTTAGGTTGAAGTAACTCTTATTTTACAACCTATTTAGTAAACTGAACTATACAGCGGGTTGGTTTCACTAAAGTTTTATGGGTTAATTTAACCAATTTAAAAAAAAAAAGTAACTATCTGGTTTAGTACCGTCAAACTAATCTTTGTTTATATTAACCTTCCCACAGTTGATTTAAATAAATACTCTGGGTCAACTTTATTAATAAAGTTAAATGAACTATTCCTTTTTTACTGTGTAGGTGCACTTCTCAAATATTTTTAGATAAACACTGTTTTGGTGTTTGCTGTATATAACATTTTTAACCATAATTCATGGTGTTTATTTAACACCACTTGGTGTTGGATTTTGACACCTTTTTAAGATTACTCTTTACACCACAGATATTTTAAACAGTGTATATTATTAAACTAGAGTATTATTCACGATGATGAGATTTAGGTCTCGATTCGCCAAACGTAATACTAAACTTTATCTACTTAAATTAGTAGATACATAAATGATTTTTAAAAATACATAAATAAAACTGTACATCTGTCAGATAGTTTACCTTACTTTCTACAAATTTTAAATTTCATTCTCTCAATTTAAAACCTGGTTGGTCCAAATCACAGTGTATAATGAAGTCGACAAATCACTGATGCCTAAAAACGTAAATATAAATTCATTATTCCCGTTGTAAGGCAGGGCGATTATATTGGTTAACATTATATACAGAAAAGCCCAAATAATGTTAAAATATTACACACATTTGTATTATTACAGTATGCTTACAAAATAAACCTAGGAAACAGGAAGCTTTTCTAGAAATTTGAAAATATAAAATACAAAGGACTAAAATACTTTAGTCAATTAAAAAATTATACAACAAATATAAAATAAACCTAAGGATTTCAAAAAGTGTTCGCTTCAGGATCAACAGATTATTACGTATAACTTTACCTACGACGAACACAAAATAGTATATTATGTATCAGGTTTGATAAACGCAATTTTATATAGAAAAGTTTATAAACGAGGTGCATACTATACTTTTTCTACGACAAACACTTATTATTATCTTAAAATGATTTAAATCAAAAATTTGTATAGAGCGCCATCTATGAAACAATAAGGGAAAATCTGTGTGTCACCGTCACAATTATAAAGGTTATAAATCGAAATGTATAAAATTGACAGTTTTTCACAGTGAAAGTAAAGAAAATGTTTTATGAGGACTTTACAGTGAAGTCCGTGTCCGAATTTAAGTTATAGTTTACTGCCGGAAACTATTTAATACTTTTGTATTGAGATAATAAAATAATTTTCACATTTAGTAATATTTTACAAGAAAGGCAATTTATTTTAACGGTTGTATGACATTTGACAACTGTCAACTAACTTAAAACTAACTTTATCCCGTGACTAAAAACCTGTTGCTAACTTCAGCCCATGACTAAAGCGCCATAAAGCCACAACTTGTCAATGTGTATTTAAAAGGTCACTTAGTGTCATGGCAACATGTACGATAATGGGCATTTTAAAGGTGGGAGTAGAAAAAAGATTTAATATATCTGAACCCCAGAACTGTATTAGGTTAATTTTTTTAAATCCCTTTAAATATTTTTTGCCTATATTTTTTTGCTTTTTCGAATGCTAAACAGAATTAATTCCTGGCTTACTTAGTTTTGAATAAAGCGGAAAACATGGGCAAAAAATTTGTAACGTGATTTTAAAAAAATGGACTTAACACAGTTTGGCTCCTATAGGAAACACATTCAGCAGGCTATTTATTTGGCTGTTAATCTCATAAACAAGTTGATGTTATTTGAGAAACACATTCTTAAAGTACAGTTTCATAATTAAAAACAAATTATTTTTAGTATCTTTAAGAAAATATAAAAGCAAAAGGTACCTTACACGAATCAAATAAAAACATAGATATTCAGATTCTAAAATCATATCAACACAAGACCACTCTTAACCCCTGACTTCTTAATACCCCAGTCCGATATAACCCTACTGCATAAATATTCTCATGCAGCATCTCTCCTGCAAGACATTAACCATCCACTGCTACCTCTCAGAGGGCGAGTTTTCAAAATATCCACGGCATCTCTCCACTCTGCGGAGCGCACCCTCCGCGAGTAGGGAACTCACTTCTATTGATTTCTTATGACGACACCGTATGGGGTTGCTAGGAAACTAAGCGCCGGCGCCCTGAAATCTACTACGATCGACCCCCGGGTATCACTAAAGGCACGAAGTCCGGGATAACAACCCGAATTTTCGAAAATGTGTTGCTAAAAACAATAACAGTGGTAAATTGTGACATCAGTGAAAATGGGTACCGTCTTGAGCTTTTCGCCGCGTGAAAGGCGTCCAGTGTACACGACAAGTTCGACGGGTGATTTTACGTTGAATAATTTCAGTTACGAGCAGCTAAACAACGCGAAAAATCGGGAAACCAAGATCAACATAACAAATTCCAACAACCACAACCTAAACAACATAAACAACAATGATAACGCTCGAATTATATCGGAAAAAAATGCACTGGAAAAGAACCTCAAGAAGCACTCCTTATTCATCAACGCCTTATCATGGAAGCGATTCTCCACGACAAACAACAACAAGAAAAAGTTGGACAACAAGAACAAAAATATCACAGTGTTCCGTCAACCTTTAGTAGACAATATCCACCCAGTCGTCGACAAAAATAAAAACATCCAGCAAAATAAAACCTACTACTCAAACTCCAAGTCATCATCAGCACTAGCTTTGGACATTGTTCGTGTTAACAACGCCAATAACAATACAAACCATCACGTTAACTGTGACAAAGTTATAAACAAACAGACTCTTTTAGCGCAGAGTTCGATTTGTTCTCAAAATCAAGTGGTCCCTGTAGCAGGGACGACCAAGAAAACTGTCATACAGGCTTCCACTTCAGAACTTTTGAAATGTTTGGGCATGTATTTACATGCGAAATGTTATAAACTTAGGGATTTTCAAGCGGGCGATGCTGTTATGTGGCTGAGGACCGTTGACAGGAGTCTTTTACTGCAAGGATGGCAGGTAAGATACAAAAAAAGTCGGTAAATAAGCTTTTGGGAATATTAACCATTACTTATCACGTACCACTTTAATTAAATCGTTTTTTGCGTTTATTTACATTAAGACCAACATAACTTAAAATGGCAGAATTTTATGAGGCTCGTTTTAAATGTGTGTAGGTAGTATAGCACATTCAAATTACATTTTAATCTTTCTTTGCTAATAGGCCTAAAGTAAACCCCCAGAAAGTTTAAACTCACTAGGGCATGTGTTAAAATTAAGATTTGTTAATAAACCATTGCTTTAATTTGACACATGACAACCATGTCCACCTCAACTTACTTATTTTAGCTAATTAGACATACAGTGTTGTCAAGTTTTTAAACTTACTTGATATGTTAACTGACTCCAAAAAAATTTTTTTGCGCCATTTTCATTTATTCACTCGCCCTTAGTCACGAGCGAATAAATGAATTTTTCTTGTAAATTTATCAAAATACAGAAAAAATGCGAGACACTATCTAATCTAATTATAATATTAAACTCATAAAAAAGCAGTGGCGTGACCATTTTTTTGATATTAACTTTAATACCTTTTATCTCGAAAACAAAGTTTTTAAAGCATACAAGTTTATATATACTTTTCTTCTTATTTTTGCGAGTTCTACTGACTATTTAATTTTTCCTATAAAAATCTGAAACACACCGTATAATATTAAATGAATAATGATTAATTAACAAGTAGGTAAGGGTTTTCTTTTATTTTGGTTAGTATTAATAATTTTTATAGAAAGTCTTTTGATAGTTTTCATTCTTATAACGTAATACTTCATTTCATTAATTAACACTTTTTTACCATTTATTACAAAACAGTAAATTTTTATATGTCTTGACTTTAAATATTACTGTTTTTACATTTTAAAGTAGGTACTTAAATATATCATTTTACACCTTGGAAAAATATTTTACATTTGAAATTTAATATTATAATAGTCTCTATTGGATTATACCTATCGTAGACATCCCTAGTGCAATATTTCTCACTTTATACGTCTTCACAACAAATTATTAAGAATAAATTAAAAATCAATTAAGAGAGTTATTTACCAGGATTAACACGGTATATGCCTACTACGTATTTAACGCGTAGTTTACTATTTTTGGTCAGATTACTCCCTAATTTCATTGTAAATAAAAATCGTTATAATGTAAATACAAAACAGTGTTTTTGTCAATTTTCCAAAGTTTTAACGCTTTACAAATTGTATATTTAAGGTAATATGTTACACAAATGTCAAGGTAATTTTGCACCTGTACATTTACTTTTATTTATAGTGTATAAAGGGATTTAAGTTATATCTTATAGAGCATTCTCTAATGACAAATTTATGGATCATTTATTTATCAAAAAGACAATATTTTAGAACTATAAATTAATCCCGGCGCATTCGCCATTTTGACAACGTAAAATCAATAGGTAATTATAATTTCTTATTAATTATTTTTCCTAACTTTAAACTTTATTCAAATAGTTTTGTCAATTAAATCATTATATTATGATTATGATTACCTCACATTTATGGGTGATTCCAGCAAAATATTTAAATTTACTTTTCAAAAAGAAATTAAAAAAAAAATTGTGAAATAATCCAAATACCAAAACTGCTAAAATGTCCTACACTTATCGATGGCCCAAAGCCAAATGTGACTACCTAAAAAATCATGATTTTACAGGGAAAGGAAAAGAAACTTGTAAGTCTCCAATAAATCAGGTTTTAATTCCAGAATACCTGTTTTTAATCACAATATTGGTTTATTTAATTACAAACGGTATTAGTTAAACCTTGATAATTTTTTTAAAAAAATATTTAAAAAAGAAAGGCACTTTATTGTAATGATTGTATGACATTTGACAACTGTTAACTAGCCCATTTCTAAAAACCTGTAGCTAACTTCAGTCCTTGACTAAAAATACGCCATAAGGACACAACTCGTCAATGTGTATTTAAAAGGTCACTTAGTTTCATGGAAACATGGGCATTTTATAGGTGGGAATAGAAAAATTTATTTTTTACACTCCCACCTTTAAAACGCCCATTATCGTACATATTTCCATGACACTAAGTGACCTTTTAAATACACATTCACAAGCTGTGGCTTTATGGCGCTTTAGTCACGGGCTGAAGTTAGCAACAGGTTTTTAGTCACGGGCTGAAGTTAGTTTTAAGTTAGTTAATAAATGTCAAATGTCATACAATCGTTAAAATAAAGTGCCTTTCATGTAAAATAATACTAAATGTAAAAATTATTTTATTATCTCAATACAAAAATACAAAAGTATTAAATAGTTTCTCAACGCCAATATTTGAAAAGTTTATATGAACATTGTACTGACCTTTTAATTTCGCCGGCAGTAAACTATAACTTAAATTCTGGCACGGACTCCACTGTAAAGTGCTCATAAAATATTTCTTTACTTTCACTGTGAAAAACTATGGGGCGCCATGTGTTCCATAATTATTTCGTACGATATATAAAATATTTTGCAGGAAAAACTTATATAAGTAAAATTTACAACAATTTTGCATAAAATATAATGTTTACTTGTTGTATAAAGCTTCAAGATTTATGAATGCATATTCTCTAATGACATTGTACTATGCTTTTTTCCATAGCATTGCTACTTATGGTATTATTGCCTGGGGAGGGGCTTTTGGCAGTGCATTGGAGGGTCTGCAAAGAATACAGAATAGATTACTTAAAATTATTATTTTGAAAGATAAAGATGTAAAGATGCCTCTATCTATTAAAGAATGTTTTTTGCTTGAGACTATCTTGTTAAACTATAAAAAACTCTCAACAAGTTTCAAAGAATCAAAAAGTACTACAAGAAATAAAATAATTTTTCCAACCATACGAAAAACGATAAAACTAAACAGTAATGAACTAGTGGCAATAAAACTGTTTAATGCACTGGATACAAATTTAAAAAAAATTGAAAAAAATAAAAATACAAAAAAAATATTAAAAAAATGGATGAGTGATAATACGCACAAACTCCTAAATCTTCAAGTAATTAAAGCAAAGGACTTATTAAAACAATAACACAACCCTCTTAATAATTATACACAGAAAAAAAAAGTACATAATATTAATGTATTTTAATATTGTGACAATGTATGCGCACATTAAAATAGAGCCGATGCACAAATACATTATTATAATGTAAATGTTACATTAATGCATGACAAATTACATTGAACAATGAAGAGTGCATTGATATTATGTAACATTATACATTGGTCAATGTATGTCATACATTTATAGTATGTACCTTATTCATTAATATAATGTACCCTGTACATTGATATAATGCACCCTGTACATTGATATAATGCACCTTGTACATTGATATAATGTACCCTGTACATTGATATAATGTACCCTCTACATTGATATAATGCACCCTGTACATTGATATAATGTACCATGTACATTGATATAACTATATATTGTTATAATTGACTGTGCGTTCTACGAAAGATTGGCGGTCTTAGGAATGTGATGCAATCCTTAATTTCTATATAACGGCCAACTTTTAATTATAATAATAATGCTAGGGTTTTGCAGCCGTTGCAGGCAAACGTATGCAATAAACCCTATCCCGATATCAATAAAGAGTTGGCCGTTATACAGAAATGAAGAATTGCATCACATTCCTAAGACTGCCAAACTTTTGTAAAACGCACTGTATAGGGTGTTTTTGGATGAGGAAAAAAACACATTTTTATACATATTAGATTTTTTATTTAAATACTCTTTTAATAAATGAACTTTACCAAAAATTGTTGTCGTTTTAAATTTAAAAAAAGGTTTTTAAGAAATTATAAATCATTACTGATTCGGGCGGAAAATCTAAATTAAACAAATTAATACATTTAAAGCAAATATCTACTGCCCTTAATACACTAAAAAATTTATATCGGACACCATCAAAATAAAGATAAAGAATTTCTTTAATGTTTACCTCATCCTTTCCTATCCAAAAAATAAATAAAACGGCTGTGCATTGACTTGCTTTTTTTTAAATGATCAAGATGCTTCTCGAACTCCTTTAAAGTGGGTGAGAGGTACAGAAATGCGTCTTGTGAATCCTTTATCGTAAATTTAGTTGTCACGTTTTTTTCTGTGTTATCTTTTTTGACTATTTTGCCAGTTGGATTGCCATGGATTACCAGAAAAATTGTTGCATCTCGTGCATCTGAAACAATAGTAACATAATATTATTTCACAAGCATCTAAGGCAATTTCGATAAAAAGTGTGTATCCTAATTGTAAAAATAAAAAGTAATAATTAAAAATTATATTTTGTGTGTAGAGTTTTTATCTAATAGATAAGAAGTTGAGTTAAAATAATGTTAGATTCACAGCTAATACACTTTTATAATAATAGTGTATAGTTGTGTTAGAGCCGTTTTTATTATGCTTATGATTAATTATATTGTATAAAAATTGAATTTCTGTTATGTGTAGGAAACGATAATTTTAGTTTTTTGTTTTTAGTGGTACCTACCAACTCAACCTCTAAAAACAAGAGTTGTAGTCAATACTTGACAATAATTGTAATACCTACATCGGCGACTCATTTGACGTAAAGTGTTATTTTCATATATTATATTACTTTTTTATATTAATAAGTGATATTTCTTACCTTTTTTTTCTATTTATCTGCTTTTTACTTTCACAATAACCACCTGATTGGACTCACAAACACAAAAGAATAATAATTTCAATTTTTTCTTAGGGTGTGGGCTCTGGAACAGAAGCAAATACGTCCTTGCACTGTTGGCTAGTAAAGCGGGAAGCTATATAATTAATACTCTGTAGGCGTTTTATAACTTTGCACATATATACAATGTATTAATTTATTAAATAATGAACAATCTACCTTGATTAATGAATTTATACATTGATATAATGTTTTAAAAACATCAATTAATAAACCTGAAAAATTGGTTAAT